GTGTGTGTGTGTGTGTGTGTGTATAGATTTTACACATTACCAGACATCTAAGATATATTTACCATAACAATGTAATAAATAAATGTATTTTACTTGTACATCATCAATTTAGCCCTTCTGGCTCATCTGTATAATTCTGCTCCATTAACACATTGATTTAATTGTGATTGATTCGTATAGTATGTTATATTACATGATTTATAGACTTCATTGACTTCATAATGACTATGCAGTTTTATGAACCTATTTTTTATTATAAGTTAAAATAATCTAGTGATGCTATGAAACAGTCAGTGTGTGCCAAAGTGATGAATTTATCTTTATTTTAAAAGTCTTAAGTCCCCCTGAAAATGAGAACACCATCGTTGTTCGATGCTGTAGCGCACAGATTGTTTACTTTGAGACCGGTCTAACTAGGGAGTACCAATATGGCGGCCGTTGGCTTCACTTCATCCTCATACTACCAACGGGCAATCAGCAATCCAGTGAATAAATACTGTAGAGATCGCTGATGCCGACAGCATTTAGCACCCGGGTGGCTAACAAGTAAAGCTAGCTGTAGGAAACCCTGAGGCTCTATCGATCAAAGGTCATTTAAAGTCTCCTTTTCCTCCAAAGACTCAGTATTTACCCTCTCTCTCCTTCTGGAGCCACAGTCTGTTCAGCCTCCCCTGCTGTTTCTCCTCGTTTCTGGCCATTGAAGCAGCTGGCTATGTTGACATGCAGCTCATCCGAAACACGCTCACGTCACACGCATTGAGTGTCACGTGACGTATGCGACGTTTGCTTCTTAAAGGGACCGTGTCTGTTGATTGAACAGAGATTGAACAGCTAATATTATAAATATACCTTATGGGGAAGGAGAAGCTACGGCAATAATTAAAAAAGAAATAAAGAAAAAAAATGACAGGATAGATGGAACATGGATAAACGTGGAAGAAATTATATATAGTGTGCAGAAATCTACTAATGCCAACCAGGTGCGGATTTAGGAAATTCGGGGCCCTAGGCAAGACAGGCAGGGGGCCCTCTGAATTGAGAAGACAGCACATAAAACAGACCC